TTTTATAGTGATAAATTTATTTTTAAAAAGTAATACACATTTAACTTAGCTTCAATTTTTGCAACATAAAAAGAAGATGAGCCAAAGGTGGACTTAATTAATAAGTTGCTATGTTATATATTGTATATACATATTGGTGATTCAAAAAAGTGTTTGAGGTCAATTTGCATGAAAAACGTACATTAATATTTGTAAAATTAGTTAAATAACTTAATAAATTATCTTTTTGTATTGACTTATTAAAGATATTTAATTAATTTTATAATTACTCTTTTATTTTTTTTTTTCTTGTAAATTTAAAAATCCACAACTTCCTAACAATTAGTGCTTGGAAATTGTTATAGATTTTTCAGTGTTGGAAACGTGGTGGATAGGGTAATGAACTTCCAACACGTAATTTGTAGTGCATTCTGCTTTATCTCCTACCTGACATCCTGCCCCCACTAGCAACATGGTGTCCTGCTTATTTTAGAAGTTCGTCCCCCTTGCAAGTTACCCCATATTTAACTGTCACTTTTCATTAAATAAAAAAAAAAAAACTGTCTTTTCATAGTTGTAATGTTTTGCTGTTCTGGCTGCTCAGCAGAACCGACCATTGACACCTTTGAAGCCCCTTTAATTAGTGTCAAAACTTTTGGCCCTCTTTCCTTTGTCCCATTCATATTAAACTAGTTAAACATTTTAAGCTTTTTAGAAGAAAATTCTCAACTATATGGTGAGCCTGCTTATTTAATTAAACAGTCTAATTAATAGTAGGGGAGAAGAGGAACAGAAATTGTCGGTGTGAGAATAATACAGAGTGTTAGTGAGGGATAAAGAAAAATGTAAGGAAAAACATGTAGACGTGTAGAAACAGAGGAAAACGCAGACAAACGTGGGACAGAGAGAAAACAGGGTAGTCTCTGGTCGGACTGTGCGCGCATGGTGTGAATGTTGACTGTGGCAAAAGAAGAAACAAAAACTATGACATGCAATTCTTGTCTTGTTTAGAATTACACGTCTCTTCTCCAAAAATCTGGCTGGAGCATTTTGTCAATGGTCTTCGTTCCTTGCGGGAGGAAAACTCCTTCATTGCTGTCTCATATATGGCTGATCCACGTGCATCCACGTGCACCGCCTAATTTTTATTTCAATCTTTCATTTATACATCGTGACCAAATTGAAATCTCCTTTGAAAAAAGATTTTCGGAATCATACCATCTTATTGATAAGAGGTTGGGGTTTTATAATTTGTCATGTATAGATCGCAAATACTTTAGTCTCATAATCAGTTTCATACTTAGTTAAGTTTATTATTTAGCTCACAAGTTTCTCATTAATTATAAGGCCAAAGTATTTGTAGTATGCATGAAACAAATTACAAAATACATTTTTGTATTGCTAATTAATATGTTCTGACTTTTGTAGAATATAGAATCATTGATATTCAAAATTTTACAATCAAAGTTTCTTAAAGTAAAGTGATGTTTGAAAGTAATATGTAAAGTTGGAATTAACATTATCTCAATCTCACATCATGCAATAGCAGATTGGAATTAACATTTGGCCGACGTTGCAAAGTTTGCTCAAAGATTAGCTTGCGGGGGAAACTTTGCTTAAAACACATGTAATGATGGGGATCTTGAAAACAGAGAACAGATTAGAGGTTTTCGTTGAATTTAGGGACAACATTATGCGCGCATCCCTAAGTTTTCAAGCCATTATTGATCAAGCCATCCTCTTGCCTTGCACATGGTAAATTTCTTCATCCATTGTCGTTAGTCAAGATTTGAGCTGTTTTTTTTCCTGTATGATTGATATGCTTTGCATAGGATACTTAACCTTCATCCCCTTCCCTAAAAGAGTGTTATTTTACTTGCATTATTGGATCCTTGGTGGGGTTAGGGTCATGTTAGAGTTCGAGTCATATGTTATTAAAATTGAAAAACGAAAGAAATAAGAGATATCACTACAAACTTTTTGCCATAAATTGATGGTAGAAATTTGTTAGTATAGCCACATTTTCCGTCAGTATTGTCCCAAGGGACTACATTGATGACTTAACTTTTCGTCAGTATAGATTGTTTCAGTATAAATTTATACTGATGTATTATTGCCATCAGCAAACACGCACAAACCTATACCAACGGAAAGTTTGGATTGTTTAAATTTCGTTAAGCACTCATTTTGGTCCCTCAACTATTATACCGACCCCTGATTTAGTCTCTCAACTCAAAAAATTCCTAATTTGATCCATCCATTAAAAATCTACCTACGTGTTCCGTTTGTTAACGGGAGCATAGTGACATGTCAAAAATTAAATACACATAGGAGGACAACATGGCAAAAAAAACATAATGATATGGCAAAAAATACTTAAAAAATTCTCTTTTTTCCTCTTTCTCCTTCTTCTTCCTTGCCTTTCCTTCTACAAACCCTAAACACAAAACCTACAACTGCCCCCTATGACACCTGCAATTTCTTCCTTTCATTTTTTTCTCTCTCCATCCCTCCCCCAACGCCAAAGTTGGACATTTTCCCTTCCAATTTCTCTCTTTTGCTGGGTTCAAAAGCTAGGTTCAAAGGAACCTAGCACGATTGGGTTCTTTTGAACCCAGCGCCGCTTCTTCTTCCTTTTCCTTTCCTCTCACCTTCTACAAACCTAGCCACTTTCTAACATCAAATCCAAGCATAACACTACCTTCTCAACCTTCCAAATTTCTACAAAAACTTTGATTCTTATGGGAGGAAGAAGGAAGAGACATGAAAGAAAAGCTTCAGATGGAGGAGAGAAGATGAGGAGATGAAAAAAGGAGAAGAAGGAACCCAGTGCGTGTTGGGTTCTTCAATTGAACCCAGCAGCGCCTAGGTTCTTCAATTGAACCCAGCAGCGCCTAGGTTCATCGATTGTTGCTGGGTTCATTGATCGAACCTAGCAGCGCCTAGGTTCATCGATCGAACCCAACAATGCCTGCTAGGTTTGTCGATCGAACCCAGTAGCACCTGGGTTCGTTGATCGAACCTAGCAGCGCTTGGGTTCATCAATCGAACCTAGAACCCCAATAGCGCCAACAAACAAGGATCTAGGGGAAAAAGATGAACTGGGTTCATCGATCAAACCCAACAACGCCTGCTGGGTTCGTCAATCAAACCCAGTAGCACCTGGGTTCATTGATCGAACCCAACAGTGCTTGGGTTCATCAATCGAACCCAAAACCCCAATAGCGCCAACGAACAAGGATCTAGGGGAAGAAGATGAA